TTCAAGAAGCTCTACGTACTGGTCCAACTTCTTCATGCTGTCGTGGACTACTGGAATTTAGTCCCTCGCGTGAGTGTCACATGTTGTGCCATCTTCAAGCCATTCTTTTCGCTTCCAAGCGGGGAATTGTCCCGAGTCGGTCATCCTCTGAAATGAGTTGACCACAGAAAGCGTTGTGTCCATCCTCACATTGCTTCCCTAGTCACTGAAGCGGTTCTCAGGAACCTAGTGGTGAGGAGAACTTGTTCTCGTGCTCGGGCCTCCGATGACTTTCTTGTCGATATGGTGCTGCAATGACACTCCTAGTGTTTTCGTCACCTTGATTTGACCGTGGATCTCTCTAAGGCTATTGGCCAGATCTTCTTCCAAAAAGCCTGCTGATGTTGAGTCCAGATGTAAGTTGGACAAGAACGACTCAGACAAGTATTAGGTCGTGAAGAAAGTTCTTGCGCTTTTCGGTGTTTCGTTTTTGAACGCTTTATTTTGTTACGAATTCAAGCAAGCTGCCAATGAGCTGTATGTGGTTTTGAAGAGCTTTTCTTGTTCTATCTAACAGCTAGGCTATGTTCCTTATTATTTAGTTGTCATTTTTGAAGCCTTGAATACGGCATACTCCAAGAGCAAATTTGCATGATTTCCTTTTTCTAGCTCAAAGCAGGCCAGTATGGAGAGGAAGCAGGTCAAGATATTATAGACGCACTTGGCTGAGATTCGCAATAAATATGGTCTGAAGCAATTGTTCAAAAAGCTTTTGTAAGAATAGCGAGAGCCCTAAAGATTGTGAGGGTGGTGATCGGAGATTGGACAACGCCAACGATTAGTCGAACGTTCTGGTTGAAGCACGTTTGCACAAATCTATTGAGAGGGTTCCTCCTAAACTGATCGCACTTGCATTGTGTTTTCTTGTTGTACGGGAAGAGCTGGAAAGTCCCAAAAATTCAAATAGGGCGTGCCGCGACAGCTCACCATTTTGAAGGGTCGTTCGCCGCGTTCTAGCTTTTATGCCATGAAAACGACCTGACTTTTTGATCATTTGCGACGCACGACAAAGAACGGATTCTTTGCTACAGAATACGAACCTTTGGTGAAGTGATCGACCGCGATCAGGCTCTACAAACTTTGCAAAAGTGAAACTTCACTGAAGGAAGGTTGAGGTGACTTTCATAAGGTCAGCGGCTGGTCTAGCTTTTCGTAACCAGGTGGATCTGTTAATGTGGAAAAAGTACTCCTGATAATGTGTCAAATTACTCCTAGAACTCTGGCACATATGCTCGAAATTCCTCATTATAAAGGAACCGGCTCGTCCCTGACAGGTAGCTCGGACGCACATTCCACAACCAACCCTGCAGAAGTTGACAAGATTGGCTACGAATTAGTCCTGCGAACATCCTACTCGGTAGACCTTTTGCCTATAATTTGTCACTTTCTCGACTACCTGGATAGCTTCTCCAAAGAGTTATGCTTCAAAAACCAACATGATGCGGAAACGACCTCCGCCGGGTTCATCGTCTCTAGAGCTCCAGTATTCTGCACTACCGGGCTGATTCAACGCAGCTATTATTGGCAGAGGTTTGTGGATTCTAACAGTCTTTACTCCAATCAAAAAGGTTTCGAATGAGCCGAGATACAGGCATTTGAAAATCAAGGTCGAAAAGCGCAAGAACTTTCTTCACGACCTAATAGTTCATCGACATAGTGGGTTACTGGTGCTGAAAACGAAAGAAAGAAATCGTTATTACCTAAGTGCTAGTACTGCTACACACTGTCATGTCGTTGAATTAATACTGTTTTCAATGGGTAGTTCTATTTCTGCAAAAAGGAAAGTGCGGAGTAATTTGCTGACTGAATAAATGATTATCTTGGGAAATGAGTCACAACTCAAAGGAGGATGCGTATCCCACGGATGATAAACGATTATCTTGGGAAATGAGTCACAACTCAAAGGAGGATGCGTATCCCACGGATGGAAAGAAGGATGTAGGTCATTGTCACCATTGTCAGTAAACCAATTATTGCCACAAAACAGTTTTATACCATTGTGCAAAAGTAAAAATATACAAAAAATCGAGCCATGTGAAATCATCATGGGTTATGCTTTCTCCCTTTAGCCATAGGTTGAATAATGTCACTTGGAATCGTGGCAAATTTCAGAATACCTTCTATCGTAAAACCATGTACAAGTTCCAGTTTGCATGTGAGGGAGTTTCGAGCTGTGGTGAATGTGAATCGTACCGTAGAGGTAACTCCAATTGTGTTACATGGGAGTGTGAAGCCCCATAGATCGCAACGCACTTCTGCTTGAACCTGGTCCCGAGACACTATGCAAGTCAGGATGGTGAAAGCTCCTTTAGCACATCCATACACCCGTTGAGATCTAAGTCGTCTACTGTACATACATATTGCCTCATCAACCAAAATTTGTGGTTTATAGACCGCTTCAAACGTGGTGACAATTTCGGCAGTAACCATTGAGAAAACCCTTGCCTGAACTTTCGACGATGGGTGTGGCAAGAAGGTTACTGCCGGAAAGACCACTGGTAACTCATTTCTCGTGTTACTTGAACCCACCGGTTATTGAGAATTCGGAGCACCTGCAATTTACATGGTTTTCCGCTGGTGTACACATACAGTTGTCTACTACGGGCAGTCCAAACGTCTTGCGCTATTGTGGTCGGGGCATCGCAAGGCAACATGATGATCTTCCATAAAGCTCTCCGTATCATGTAGCCCGACTGTTCGATGCTCGTATTTTGCTGTTTTGTTGATCCTGGAGGAATCGTACGTCTTGGAGACTAAAACTTCTCCGGAACTAGTGATGCATATCCTCCGCATGACAAGGGGGACGAATATTCTCTGTGGTGATGTAGGGTTCGCGTTGCGATGAACAAATAATAATAATGTGCAAAAACAACGAATAATGTGCCACGCGGGTACAATGCACTCGTTTATACAGTAAAGAATATCAGATTATTTTTATATTGTATTTTCTTATCCTGATTTTCGTATTATTTTTTCGTATTATTATTTGTTCCTGTCTAAATTTGCTGTCATATGCCTATTGTAAGCTAGCTTTTATTCACGTATTGATTTGTTTTACCAACATTGTACAATAGCTATAAAATAAAATAAAATAGATTAATCACCAGCGAAGACACACCGCTTCGTCAGCAATCCACAGAAGAATCCACAGCAGTATTGAAGTTCTTCGACTATGATACGAGAAGCTGACTGAGGGTCCGCTTATTGGTTTGAGAAGATTGGGCGAAGCCAGAATAGAATGACCGTACAGTAGGACCCAAATAGAAGCAGGGAAAAAATAATCAACTACTAGCCTGGCGTAGTTGATACCTCTCTTGAGGCGAGGGAACTGCAGGGGAGCCGAAGCGTTTAACGGATCACA